AAAGAGCAAGGAGGAAGGGACAATATCAATCTATTTTGTCCAACAAAAGGCTTGGTCAATGAAAGATTTCTGTCATGACTAAACTAATTGGTATCATTATTGAGTGTTTTTAACAGGAGCCACCAGCTTGGAATATTGGACAACCACTTCCTACATTATCAACTTTAAATTAACATTATTATTATCATTATTATTGTTATTATTATTATTTATGAAATAAACAATTTTTAAAAATCGAGTTTCCAGATGGCATCCGACTAGATCACGGAGGGTCGTGGGTTCATATCCCATCTGGAAACTCGATTTATTATTATCATTATTATTGTTATTATTATTATTTATGAAATAAACAATTTTTAAAAATCGAGTTTCCAGAGAGCATCCGACTAGATCACGGAGGGTCGTGGGTTCATATCCCATCTGGAAACTCGATTTTTAAAAATTATTATTATTATTATTACTACTAAATTGTGTTTCTCAAATTTGTTATTTTAAAACCTTTCTGTATGAAAAAAGTAAGAGCCATTTCTCCTCATGCAAGTAAACATGGCTGAATCTTGCCCTGTCAGGTAACTAATCAGAATACAAGATTGCTTCACCTTGTTCATTGATATAGTCAGCAATATCATTATAAAGAAACAGAATCTCGCCTAAACTAAAAAAAAATTCTCTTGATCCAAGGCTTATTTTTGAAGCAAAAAAAACCTTAAGGCCCATGTTGTTTAGAGTCACTTGAATGTTTTTTGTTCACGTATGACTCAAAAATGTTTCTTGTATATTTCTACACTTACATCTCCACAAACAAACTACTTTAGGCAAAACAATCTAAAGTTCACTTTAACAGTACATTACAGATCCCAAAAAGGAATACATAAGGAAAACTGAATTATTGTACACAATGAACCATCCTACAAAAACTTATTATTAGATGCACCCATCCATATATCAATCACGGTCATCCTGTGTTTCTGTGACTTCAATTTAATGGCAAAGGACACTTACATGAGGATCAGAGTTTGTCCTCAATTCCACTCTACACGGAGCAATAAAGCAGTGATCAGATAAACCACAATTATTATAGTAGTTAGTTGTTTTCAAAGTCCAAAGAACATTCTTGAATAGGGACAGTCAACTATTCACTCTTAAAAATCTGTCTCTGTTCAAAATAAAAATAAATACTTGTCCATGCAAATATTTTTACTCTGTGCAGTTTAAGATTTGTGTTACAGATGCAAATTTTGTTGAAGGAAAAACCGTTAAAGGCAACTTGTTTCAATCTCCTCTTGAGAATGTACCCGTCTTTTAATTAATTCTGAATTCTCGTGATCGTATTTAGATCATGCAATAAACAATAATTGCGAGGGAGAGAGAGGGAAAGAGGGAGCGGGAGAGAGCGTCATCGACTGAAAAAGACTGCAATCATGGAGCCTTCCGCCCGACTACAGCAGTATTGCAATAACAAGACCCACTTTATTTCACCAGAGTAGTGGGAGTTGAGTAAAGATATTAGTTCGTGTTACAGTTGTCCTTTGTCTCCCGTTTCGCCAGTACTTTCGTGTCAACCTTTCACAACATATCTGATTTAGTTACAATAATTTTTATTACCTAAACATGCAGAGGTAAGATCGACCCACGGGGAGATGTACAAAGCTTAATTTACTTTAGCCAGATTCCTGTTCATCAAATTAGCAACCTGCTAGATTTTTTTTATTTTAAACAAGTTTAGAGATAAGTCAAACTTCCACCCTTAGTCTAATGATCAGTGATCATGATTCTAGAACTAAAATCAGAAACATACACTCACCTCCATTTCTTCGGGCATAGAATCTTGATTCATGGGACGCGTAATTATTGTCCCTTTTCTCAGGGTTCCTTTGCTTAGAGAACCCAAAAAATTTCGCCTCTTGGATGTCCGGGGACTGGCCAATGCCTGTAAATGTTGAGCTCCACTCACATTCAAACCTGTTGAAGATGGCTGCACGTCCGTGATCATCGCATAATTACCGCTATCTTGAGCGCTAGCCTCGTCTTGCCACTTATTAGACATTTTTAACGGCTTCTACATATCATTAACTGTCTGCAAAGGCCTCATCAAATTTTATTGAAACCTAGCCGCAACATGTTGATTGCAGAACCTTTGATCATTCAACGTGACCAATTTAATATTTTTTACAATGTACGTGGTTACCAAGCTGATTACGTCAATCCAGGTAATCTCCAGTACAGAGCTCGAAAGATCACCTCTTTACAAAATAGCAAAGAGACTTTCAACGATACATACTATGAGCGCTTTTGGCTCAAGTTCAATATTTTATTTCCAAATATCGCGGGGAACGTTTTTCTAGGCGTTTAGAAACTACTGATCTCCTTAAAGGAATGACTTAGCGTATTTTCTCAAACTGGGAATCAAAGCAATTTATTAGTTTGAAATTAACACTTGAATTTAAGGTAAAAGCTAAATAAGATGACACTTATACATATTTTACTACGACGTGTCTATCGCAAAAACTGGTATCCTAAAAGCAACTTCTGCACGGAAGTTGAGTGGGATGCAACACTACTTCCGGTCAGGAGCCTAATCAGGGAGTGCTCATGCGTGATGCATACATAATCCCTAAAAACAAACATTTGTTTTTACTGTCCACCTTCCTTTTATTTTACCTTTTAAGGTTCAAAGTGGGAAATATCGGAAGTACAAAGGGATGAGTTGATGAGGAAACATGACAGGGAAAGGCAACTACGTCAGTACACCAAATGCGCACTTTAATTTTCTTCGTACCGGAGACTGAGATCAAACTGTTAACGCTGATACTGTCCAAATCCTGTGCAAACTAATCTTTTTGAGATTCAAAGTGGTCAGATAGTCAGAACGTTTTTCGAAGGTGTTTAGGTAGCGCTCAACCAGGATTTATTTAAGGGCATAATTGATTTGGTTTTGATTTCTCTTGAATGAAATAAGAAGACAATTAAGGCCAACGTCTTGTGATCTTTTATATAGATAGTAAGCAAAACTGAATCAAACAAAATATATAAAAAAAACAAGACCCTCCACAAAACCTAAAAAATGAATCAAAAGTGTACTCAGTCCTTGGGTTGCGTTACTGGATATTTTACTAACATTTCATGTCAGCAACCGTGTTTTTGAACCGTGCCTGATTTCAGATAGTACAATAAATTCCTGCATTCAAATTGTATCATTAATTGGGGATTGAACGCGTTTAATTGCATCTTTTTACCGCAGAAAATAGTCCACTTGCTTCCGACGAGAAGCAAGATTAGTCATTAACTCCTGCAGAAATCAAGAGTTCATTTTTCCATTTAGTTTCATAATCGCAGTTTAAATGTACATTTATTCTATAATTGGTTAGAGAACAAAAAGTAGATTCGTTGGTGTAGTAGTATGATAAGAAACTAAGGACCCCTATCACAGCACCCCTAATTTTATACTTGTGTTTCTGGGTGGTCCTGTGTTTCTTTCCAAACTCACCCTTTTCAAGATCCTTTGTTGGACACAGCTACTCAGTTTGGGTGTTTCCCATATTTCTTCTCTCCAAACTTGACTAAACCTGATAGCAAATTGTTTAACAACAACTTGGAATGAGCAAAAGAGAATGATCCCATAATTTTCTTGTGGTACGAAGAAGAATATTTTGAAGCACAATAAAACTACAAGCCAAACCGAGTTCTTTTGTCTTCAGTTACAAGCACACCAAGAAAATACTTGAGACCATGATCTCTTGACCCTTTACAAGCTAACATTACTCTACATATTCTCCATGCTGTTATCCATACGTTTCCCAAGCTGGTAATAGGGAGAATTTCTCAAACAATCAAGAGCTTCTTTGGTATGTGCCTCATTTGCTTTATTCTCGTGACCTTGATGTTTTTAATTCAGGGGTGATATTGTAAGGAGAAATTAGATGCTTGTAACTCTTAGGTTTCAAAGGTTACGGAAAGATGGGTTAGTTTATGTAATAATTACGAATAATTACCTCAAAAACAAACAAACAAACCAACAAAAACACCGCAAATGGAGTGATAGAAAATACTGGCACATTTCTGCTTATTCAGTCCATGATTGAGGGGTAAGAAAAACTTTGTAGAAGTCCATAACAAGGAAAAAAAAATCGTGTGTAACTTGAGGGTAA